TCCTCCTCTCTCTCTCTCTCTCTCGTTATTTACGATCCTCCTCCGCACACGTGCGCCAAAAGGGTGCACGGTTTCGAAAAGCAAAAAGGAAGAGGAAAGCTTTTCCCCTATCTCGAAAGAAAATCTTGCGAACCGCCCCCCCCTCCCCCCCGAAACGAACAGGTATCCCGAAATACCACGCGATATTTAACGCAGGGAACGTCGAATTTGAAAACTGATGCTCCAACGATTCGTCACACGGGTTAAAGGAGCCGCGCGTTTCTCCCAGGTAGGATTCCAAAAATTCGAGCCCCGATGTTTCGCGATCGGTTCCCAGCCTTAAATATTGTGACTTCGCCGTTAGTCACGCCGAAGAATTTGTTCAACGAGCCACAGATTTTTCTCATCTTCGTGAAAATCACTCGACGAGAAATGCCACGTGACGAATCTACAGATTTTCTCCCACCCGTGATCCTGCCTTCCTCCCCACCCTTTGTACACGACAATTGCACGGAACGAAATGCAGCAGGGAACGAGAGAGTTTCAGAAAATTGATTTTCAAGGAGAATTTCCTCGTTCGATCATAATCATGGAAGAATTTTATACAGTTATAATTTGATCGCGAGGCTGGATTTGTGGAATCGGGAGACGAGCGTAGGCCAGCCTGGCCTGAAGAAGAAGATAATCGTGGCAATTTTCTTGATTCCAGGATCATCGATCATCCGGTTCGTGGTAAAGGAAGAGGGGAAAGAAGAAATTGTCGATTGCCTGGTGGACAACTGGTTAATATCTTGGGAGCGGTTCTTGCGCCGCGCCGCCATATTGGCCGCGAAAACGGCTACTTGCCAGGATAATCCGGCGAAGGGGCAAGCTGCGCCCGGATCGTGGAAGTCGCACGATTTGCGGCTGTTCGCCGATTCCACGCCCATCCCGAAGTTTTACTGCCGGCCATGGATGGATATTTCTTCGGCCAACGTTTTGGGAAATCTCGAGCGAGCGGAAACCGATATTTCTGACGGCCGTTTGCGGTTTCAGCGGCTCGTTTTCTCCAGCCAGGAAACGGCTGGTTGCCGGCAGATTTTTGACGATCGTTCGATCCACGGAAGTCTATTGGTGGGTCTGGCTTTTCAGGCTCGCAATTACGGTATAGAAACTACTTTTTTTATTTTGTGCGAGAGGGAGGGAATCGTTGAGAATCGTAATTGGTATCCGTATTTTCTAAAGAATTTGGCTTTTTTTTCTTATATGTGTGTGTGTGTGTGTGTGTGTACGATATGTAACATAAAACGTCACTGCCTTGTTACGCCATCGTTGTTGGTGAAGTAAAGGAATGGAACAAGTTTCAGAATGGTCATGTTAGAACGGTTCTGTTTATTGAGAAAGCGAGCAAGGTGGTCGCCGTGAATCGTCGGTGGCCATTTATGAGAAGCCCTACCGATGCTTCTTACCTCCTTATACCGACCGGTTGTCCTCATTTTCGCAAAGAACTTTATCCAATAATGCAATTAAGACCGCGGCAATGGAACGTTCGCGTGTAACGATCGAATTAAGCGCGACGATGGTATTCTCCAGACTTGAAAACTATCTTTATTATAAATGCTTCGTAACGCGTCGTTTTTTGGATTTTGCAAGTTTTATAAAGAAAGAAGTTCGGCTCGCGTGAAATTCACTCGAAACTCTCATTTCTTGTTGTTCAATTATTTTTGAGATAATTCTTCTTCGTTCGAAACAGAATATTTAAAATTCGCATATATCACGTTCGCGTGTAAGATAATTCAATAATTTATTTGGTTTATAAACATTTTCACGAAAAATAATTTCCTTTCCGCTTCTCTCGTAAAATATCAATATTGTTCTGTTAAAATATGGATCATATATAGTTATGTGTATCAAGATGTCGAAAATATAGCGTGCATTTTTTCGAAAAAAAAAAAAAAAAAGGTAATTTAAAATTACTCCGCTAGATAAATCTAAACTAAAAATCTAAACGCAATCTACAACCAACCAACCAACACAAACGTACCCATCCTCCGCCCTTCCCTTTCGCCTGTATAATATATACACCTTGGACGACACGCCTAACGAAATTATACGCGTATACACGGCGGGCGAACACCGACAACAATGAAAGAAAGAGAAGAAGAGAGGAGAGACGATCGAAACGGTTTCAATCTCTTTGCCCACCGGTATATTAATATTTATCGAGCGTTTTCGGGGCGCAGTAAATATCGAGCGAGGTTGGTTGGCGTGTACGATAATTTCATTGCTTAATTCGGGCACGCCGTGCCCCTGGCCCAGAGGGTTCACGTATGCACGCGCGCTCCCTCGTTTTTCGTGGGCGCGCGAAATCACAAGGGCCCTCGAGATCCTCGAGGTGGCCGTAAACGATCGTTTCGTACCGGCTCGAAAAATATTACGTCTTCATGGACACCGAGGTTACGCCGTCGGTATAATTTCGTCGTTAAACTCGTCCCTTTTGTATCATCCCTGTATCGTGACCGGTTATCGTGTATTAGCGAGAGAAAGAGAGAGAGGGAGTTACGTAGCTGTCGTTCGATCGATGATAATGATCCCGTTGATGATAGCTCCGAACGTTATTATACGCGTCTCATCGATGCAAGATAAAAGAGAGCGAAATATTGAGAGATGCGAGAGAGAGAGAGAGAGAGAGAGAGAAAGGAAAGGAAAGAAA